AAAGAGGACAGAAGCAATCAAGCAGTTACAACCTCCAGATTCTGTCAAAAGGTTACAGAAATTTCTAGGTGCCCTGAATTATAATCGTGGATTCATTAAGGGGTTCAGTTCCATTGCAGCACCTTTGTACAAATTGTTACAAAAGGGGGTCACTTTCAAATGGGACTCTGACTGTCAGTCTGCGTACAAGGGCTTAATCCAAGCCATGTGCCAGGCCCCTACGTTAGCAATACCAGAGTACAACGATCCAAACCAGTCATATGAGGTCACAGTGGATTCCAGCAAGATAGGGCACGGTGCAATGCTGACGCAGTTAATTGATGGACAGCGGAGAGTTATATCGTACTGGTCCAAGGCTGTGCCAGTGCACATGCAGAAGTTAGGAGCCAGTAGATTGGAATTCCTGGGATTGTATTACAGCCTGCTTCATTATAGAATATATTTGGAGAATACTTCATTTCGTGTAATTACAGATTGTAAAAGTTTGCTCAACTTGACGACTATTTTTCGCAAGGAAAATAGTTATATGCAAAGAAGGCTGGCTGATTTGGCGTCTTTCCGGTTTAAGGTAGTGCATGTCTCCGGGGAGAGCAATGATATTCAGTGGGCAGATTATCTGAGCCGGAATCCTGTGGAAATAGAGACCACGTCAGTAGCCACACAGACCAGTGATGATGCAATTGCATCGATCAAATCCATCGTGGTAGAGAGAGAACATGATTCATTTGACAAAGTTGAGAGTAAGCAGCAGGGATCAGAGGAACAGTACACACAGACACACATTACACGGGTGCTGAAATCGGAGATAGAATTACCTGAGCAGCCCATTACGCTGGCAGAAATTCGGAGAGAATATGCTAATGATACAATTTTATCAACAGTAATTAAATGGGTGGAAAGTGGGCAACCTCCAGATAAAGTCAGTTACCGTAGGGATTCGGCTGAGCTTTGTCACTATAGACAACATTTTGACATGATGACAGTCAAGGAGGGGATCCTACATCGCAGATGGGTAAATCCCACTAACAGACAGGAGGACAGAGATCTTATTGTGGTGCCGAGGCCACTTATTGACAGAGTTTTACATTCGTACCACGATGGCAATTGCCACGTGGGTGCGGATCTAGCACTGGAACACAGCCAAAAGAGCTTTTATTTCTACAAACAGCGCAAACTTTACAAGTTACATTGCGAAGCATGTATCACGTGTGCACAGGGTAAGCAACCTCGCAGTTTCAAAAAAGCTCCATTAAAACCCATTGTTTATAGCCACTTCGGGCAGTGTGTTGCCATTGATTACTTAGAGCCATCTAAGAAGCCTACGAAAAGGGGCCATACAGCACTGTTAACAATGGTAGATATGTTTTCAAATTATGTGGTGTGCAAACCAGTGAAATCTACAGGCACAGAGGAAGCCATTAAGGTTATCATAAATGAATGGATCCTGAAATTTGGAGTCATGTCTACAATCATACACGACTTAGGACCGAGTTTCTCGAGCACTTTGTTCAAGTCGGTCTTAAAAATGTTCAACATTAAGGATATACACGGAGTTCCGTGGAAATGTCAGACCAACGGACGAGCTGAGGCCTTCAACAAGAAAATCAATGTTTGTATGAGAACATGTCTAAATGAGAATCAGTGGCAGGACTATGACTTGTGGATCAACTACATAGTGTTTGTGCTCAACAGCTTGAAATCCACTAGGACCAAATACTCAGCAAATTTTCTGTTATTTGGGCGTGAAGTCATGAGTGTGAGAGACTTGTATTTACAAGATAACGAGAGATTAGAGCAAATTTATTCCGAAATAGATGACGAAGACGCTAGACAGCTTCTTGCATACAATTTGTATCGCAACATAGCTGAAGTGACTAGAAAAGCAGCTGCGAACAATGCTGTGAAGGCAAAGTTTATGAAGACGAGCTACGATAAAGGAGTAAGAGGACCATTTTTCGAGAGTGGAGAGTGGTGCATGTTATTGATTCAAAGACCTGGACACAAGTTTGCTCCCAGATTTCAGGGACCATACAAGATAGTAGAGAAGCTTAGTGATTGGAACTACATTGTCCAGGTGGGACAGGAGAAGAAGGTAACCAGCATCACGAAGATGAAACCTTACAAAGGTGGAGAACCACTCACCAAGGTTCCTGGAGCGGCTGTGGGATTTCCCAGCGGCTGTTCTTTGGAAAATGAAGGCAACGTGAGTGAGGTGAGCCTGGTCACTGAGAGTGATTCCTCGGATTCAGATGATTATCACATCGTCACGAGGAGTCGGAAGAAGAAGAAGGATCAAGGATTTCCTTGTCCTTCATCTATAATCAGTAAAAGTGGAGGAAAAGCGTCAGCGCCAGAGAATCTCACAAGTTCTGGAAATGATGTACCACAGACTGAAGTTGGAAGCGAAGATCCGGCCATTGTGGTGGAAGAGGAGGAACGAGGATTGGATGACACGATAGTAAACTCATCACTCAACGATGTACCGCGTCAGGAAGACGATCCACAATTAAATCTAAGTGCAGACACCACCGAATCTTTTCACGATGCACTAGATTCAAGTCAATCTCAAAACATTGACTCTAGTCCGGAAGTAGCGGCTGCATCTGCTGGACCAAGCAGAGAGGGAAATATGCACTTCGGAGAAATAGATAGTAGAGGACTTACTCTTGCTGAGATAGGTCGTGAGGAAGACGGCAGAAATCCGAGGAGAAAGTACGAACTCAGACCGAGAAGGAATAAACCGAAGTACGTTTAGTACAGGTGAGATTCCTGGAATAACTTTATTTAAGTAAGATAGCCTGAAAGGTTATTTACGTGATATATATATATATATATTAATTATTGTGCACAATGGTATTTTGTGGTAATCTTGTTTTGCTCTTATGAGTTAACTACAATTAAAAACAATGGTATTTTGTTTAAATATTCACAACAATATCACGGTATCCGGAATTTGAACAGTATATCGTAAAGATAGACCTTGTTGTTGCCCTTTCCGTTTTAACAGTCATATTGTATTACTAGGATCCTGAGTGTTGATTCCTACCGTATTCGGGAGATTGATCACCTCTTTTTTACATTCAGTTTGAATCATAACAACACTTTAATTACAGTAGTACTAATCTTGACATCATTTAGAACATGGTTATTCACAACATGGTGATTTGGATAATGTTGGGCACGGCAAGTGCCGCATTTCAAAAGAAAGGATCTCAGAGGGACATCATTGCAGCTGAGATTGGTGTAAAAATAGAAAAGTCGGGCAGAGCGGTCATGGTGAATGACAAGATAATAATTTCTATGATAATCAAGCTGCCCACCCAGATGGACATTTTGAAGCCCCTGCAATCGGCATTTGATCGGATCGTGGAATGCAACGCGGTGGAAGATCTGGATTTCAGATCGAACATGGGCCAAATGGTCGCCAATTTAAACGATAAATTCGAAGATTTTATAGCAACAAGGCTTAGTATTTTAAGAGCCTTCGTCGAGAATGATGCAGAAGAGGATAACGAGGACAAAGACAGAAAAAAGCGGCAAATTTGCCATTCCTGGCAGGCGCAGGGATTTCCCTGGCTATGGAGGGAGTGACAGAATATCAGATCTACAAGATAAAGAAACACGTGTCAGAAAACCAGAATACCATCTCAGACATGAAGAGTAAGATCTTGCATTTGCAAGATGAAATAACAGCTTTAGATGAGAAGGTGGTAGGATTTGTCACAGTAATTACTGCAAAGTTGAGTGAGTATTTTAAAAGAGAGGAGTGCATGATATTCTTTCACGAAATGAGCAGAATGGTAGAAAAGGGGTTTGAAGAGGCCCGGGAAACCATAAACAATGTTTTGTGGACAGCTCTTACGGGAAAAAACGACTTATTGCTTTCCCCTAAGATGGCAGGTATAGGTACACTAAGGAAAATTGTAGACCGGAACCCTGCTTTAAACACTACTATTTTCAGTGAGCACCCCAGTTTACTTTACTCGTTAGCAAACGTGCATCTGTTCGAGGTGAGTTCAAGTTTAGACGTAGCACATTTTATTTTAGACATTCCTTTAATTCGTCAAGGAAGATCTCTAGAGACATTTGAAGCGGCACAGGTTGGCATGGTCACAAATAGACAGGAGAATCTGTGTGTGTACTATGAATTACATGAATTGTTGTATGTGAAGGATGGAATTCTGTTCGAATTCACTACACACGATTGTAAAACACACAACGATTTATACGTTTGCCCTGTGGAGAATTTTACGAATCAAACATCTTGCATCCAGCGGGGGAGCATCACGTGTAGGATCAAGCGTACGAAGTGTAAGAATTATTACCAGTATAATATGTCACAGCTAGGAATCTTAATAAGAAACAACAACTATTTGGATACGTATGTAATTAGTACAGGTGGATTCACTAGTTTGGTAAACTTATCAGAAGCAGGGACGGCATATATTGCATGGGATTCCATAAAAGGTGTGCAGATCGGAAACACGTTGATCGAATCTCCGAATTCGGAGTCAATCCCAATGTATCCCTCTTCGTTAAGCTTCAATCTTTCTTCGCTAGATTTTTATCTAGACGAAACAAATGTCACGGACACTTTGACGGGGATTTGTAGAAAATATAATAAAACTTTGGAGAATATTTTGCCCCCGCTCGTGGACGACTGGAATAATAGGTCCAATGTGCACTCAAATGTTATGATATGGGCAATACTGGTCGCAATAGTTTTAACACTTTCCGTGTTGGGTATCATGGTGCTCATGGTATATCGGAGATTGACGAAAGAAATCAAAATATTGAGACTGCAGGTGCAACCTCATGAGTCTCGGAACCCGAGAAGATTGAAGTTAAACAAATGTGCATCCCTTTAAAACATGAAATGTCACGTGCTAGGGGGTCCTCACGCAATTGTGTGAGGGCTACTAAAGGGGTGTGGAGACGGGTTTCATCACAATTTGATTGACGCTCGTATTGCTTAATAATAGTATCGTATAAACTTGAACATGGAGAACGAAAGGATAACAGTGGAAATAGAAGACCAAATGGAAGGAATCTGGTCTGACGGAAAAGAAAGCGTGAAAGATTCTGTTGGTGAAGGGAATTCCCTTTGTCAGCTGAGTCAAGAAGCGCAAGATGGAGAAGAAGTGTCAGAAAAGAGTAAAGATGAAGAAAAAGAAACCGTGAAAGATTCTGTTGATGAAGGGAATTCCCTTTGTCAGCTGAGTCAAGTAGCGCAAGATGGAGAAGAAGTGTCAGAAAAGAGTAAAGATGAGGAAAAAGAAACCGTGAAAGATTCTGTTGGTAAAGGGAATTCCCTTTGTCAGCTGAGTCAAGTAGCGCAAGTTGGAGAAGAAGAGTCAGAAAAGAGTAAAGATGAAGAAACGGAAAGAAGTAGTTCGTGGAAGAGAAAGGTTACGGATAAGTTAGAAGTTCTTTTGAAAGAAGGACCAATAAAAGTAACCTTAGACGAAATGAGGAGAATGAATAAACAAGTGAGAGACTCTCTAATAGCAGACAACATATCCACGGAAGAGAGGAAGAAATGGGATGTACTGTGGGAGTTTCTAGGATTATTCGTAACGATTGTGGATCCGTGGGGAGCAATGCTTACTTGGGACGCATGCTCTGGGCAGGATAGATATAAAGAGAATTTCTTTATGATCTTGAATCCCGGAAGGTCATTTAATAGCAGCAGGACCGAAGACTCTCGCTACAGCGGATTGAAGAGTGTGATCCCGATGAAGTACGGAATAAGCAGAGGACACTTAGAGAACTACAAACAGAATAGGATTAACGGAATTCCGTTAAAGCCTAAACCAGGAAATGTAGAGCAATTAATGCAGAGTGGATCTAAGAACAAGGAAGTCGTACAAGTGACGCGGGGATTCGAGGAGAAAAGGGGCGTCGACAGAACAGCAGGAGGAATTGCTCACTGGGAGAGAGAACGGCAGGAAGATGACAGAAAAGACGAAGAAAACAGAAGAAGAAGAGATAGAGATGCACGTGAAGAAGCGGAGAGACGAAGAAGAAGAAACTTGGCGGAAAGAAGAGAAATGGTCCAGCAGAGATTGGCAGAGGAAGGAAATAGACATCGCAGGCAACAAGAATGGAAAGCACAGCCAGAAAGACAGTATTATAATGCACGAGACAGACGGAGGGGAACTGAAAGATGGCATGGAGACAACAGAAGAGATGGAGATGCGCGTGAAAGAGAAGAAGCAGCGGAAAGACAGAGATTGAGAAACCTGGAAGAAAGAAAAGAAGAAGAAAGAAGAGCAGTGGAAAAAGAGGAAAGACGGCGCAGACAAGAAGAACAGAGAGAAGCAGAAAGAAGGAGAATTGAAAGAAAAGAAGAAGAAAGAAGAGCAGCGGAAGAAGAGGACAGACAGCGCAGGCAATACGAACAGAGAGAAGCAGAAAGAAGAAGAATTGAAGTACAGGAAGAGAAGAGAAGAACAGAAGAAATAAAGAGGATCAAAGAAGAAGAGGAATGTAGGAGGGAAGAACTAAGAGTGGAAATGATGAGAAAACAGCAGGAGGTCATGCGAAAAGAAACTGAAGAAAGATGCAGGGAAAGACAGAAAGAAAACATCAGGATTCAATTATCTAAGATTCTTAGGCAAATTGGAGAACGGGGACTATACTTAGGGGATTTGCCCGAAAGTATAGATGGTTGGAGCAAGCACATCGGAGCAAGGAGCACGATAAGACCAGAGCCAGTGTTTATGGGGAGGCTGAAAGAGGCAAAAGTCGAGGGAGCGGAGATGGACTTCAATGCGGCTACCTTGCCCGAGGGAATTCCCTCTAAGGCAAGGCAGCAAGTATCAGAAATAATCAGTACGGAGTTGGGAGTATTTGTTGGAGACAAAGAGGATTTCATCAGAGTCTTGAATAGACTAGCACTGAGAGTGGAATTGACGGCCAAAGATGTGTGCTACGGGATAACTGAGGAGGATAGAGCAGTGGTGGAATGGAAACGCGATGACAAAAGGAAGGAGAGGAAGAAGATGCTAGAGTTTTACATAAAGAACAGGGCGGGGGAATTCTCCCGTGGCTGTAGAAGTTTAGTAGATATAGTGAGGGAGTTATGGGAGGATGAAGAAGATATGACGGATGGACTGGTAGAAGAAGAGTTAGGTGAACTGATGAGGAGATTATGGTTCTTAAACAATCTTGATGTAGCAATTTAGTAATAGTCGCATGCAATTGTATGCTTCTATAGTTTTTAACAATTTGTGCATTTGTACAAAAAAGAATACAGTCGTTTTATTGCATATCAAGTGATATCTCTGATTCATAATTTGTGAAGTTATCCTCTGCAAAGCAGCGGAAAACTTCCTCACAATTTTGTGGGGAGGATATGTTGTAGGGTCATTTTGGCATTTTCCAAAATAACTATTTTGATCATAATCTAACCCTTTATTACAACAATGAATAGAAAGGACCGAAAAGAAGGAAGTGGAGAGAGGAGAATACAGAGATAAGACGAAGGGACGCGCAGAGGAGATCGCGAGAAGTGGAGCCCTAATGACAAGGAACTCGATGGACGGTTTAGATTCTTATATAGATTGGCGTTGGGTTTTATATTTTAAGTTTATATGCATGACAGTATTATAGTCCAGTATTTAAGGGTAGTATTTTAGGGCATATATTTTTGTACGACATTTAGTACAGCAGGGTAGTGCAGAGAGTTTAGTTTAACACCTCTGTTTTAGTTACAAGGAGGATAGTTAAAGATATTGTTAAGAGCAGAGAGTTTTAGGGAAACAGAAAGTTTATTTTAACATCTCTGTTTTGGTTATCAGAGGGTTCAATTTTACACCTCTGTTTTGGCTATAGCAGGATAGTTAAGGAAATATTTAGCACATAGAGTTTTGGACGAGCAGAGAGTTTATTTTAACATCTCTGTTTTGGTTATCAGAGAGTTCAATTTTACACCTCTGTTATGATTATTGGAAGGATTGTTTAGGAAATTGTTTATAGATTGCTCGGAAGAGTGGGAGATTGTTAATACTTTCGGGGGATACTTAAGAGTGGAGATATTGAAGGGATGTTACACTTTTTGATTTGAGAAAAACTGATTTTGCAGTTAAAGTTCACAGTTAAAGAACTATTCGAATTATTGACATATTATTTGAGGAACTCTGAGATATTGTAATTACAATTCTTAAACGGTTTATTCAAATTAAGGTATTTTCCCTTGTCACCTTGCAGAACAAAAAATAAAGGAAAAGAGCCTTTTATCACAAGCAAAGAGAACTCGTCAGGGACATGAAAAAACTGGTAACTGAGCAGCCTGATAAGCTACACTTTATCAGAAACGGTGCTATAAAGAGTACTGATAAGACTAATAAGACTGCAGAATGAGCTTGTGTGTTTTTAATAATTGATTATTATTAGTGTATTCAAGTTTTTGTTGTGTGGAGGATGTTTTAACTCACTCTTGTGTGCCCAGTCTTGCACTGTCAGTATTTCTCGACACTTTGAGCACACAAAACTGTCAGTTTTCGCGACAATTGTCAGATTTCGTTTTCAGTTCTGTCAATTTCAAGCGCTACTAGCTCTACTACTAGTAGTCTACTTCAGCTCACATTAAAGGGAGTCTTCGTCGTGCGTGTAGCGCCCTTCAAGTTTAACTTGGACGGATAGGATTTATAAAACTTCTGATTATAATATTTATACTATATTGTATTTTGTATCTATGTATTTTAGTAAATGGTCATTAGAACCACCGGCACCGTCCGGGCCCAAACAAACAAACTTTTTCGTTTTTGTGGTCGATTGCTACTCCTTTCCGTTTGCCTTTGTGGCGTTGGATAGAGTCAGACTCAAGCTCACTAATAGATTCTGTTTTTGATGCATCATCATCACTTGTTTCCTCAGGATTATTGTTTATTTGGTCTTTTTCTACTCCTTTCCGTTTGCCTTTGTATCGCTGGAAAGAATCAGATTCATTACTAGGTTCTGCTTTTGAAATTTCATCATCACTTGTTTCCTCAGAGTTAGAGCTGTCTTCCTGAGATAATGTTGTATCAGCATCTGAGTTTGTGGAAGCAGGATAATCCATTTTAGTTTCAGTAACTCCAGATGTAGCTTCTGAGAACGGCAAAATGGTAGAGGGTGATTCTTGGTTTTCTTGATGATACCGACTTTTGTGTGTGGCCAAACTATATTTATTGGCAAAAGTTTTGTCACAGAATGAGCAAAATACTCGGCTCATAATATTTCAGTGGATGTGTATTAGCGACAACAATCTTCAATTATATAATACAGCAGGAAACTGTCAAAAGTGTTTGGAGCAATTTAATAAGATTGCTACATATACTATAATAATCAACTTATCTGCTTTCCCGTATCGACGTGTCTTTTCTAGACCAATAGTAGGATTTTATTTGTATAACAGTGTCTGCAACAATATTTAGGGAGCTTATCACACCACTCTACCTGCTGTAATGAAGATAATATTACCCTTGTTGTTCATACTGATAATATAGAAATTGTAAATAATTGCATTTAACTGACTGACCAACTGAATTACTGACTGGCTTGCGTGTAATTGCAAATAATCACAAATAATATCACATTCATGTGACTATGTGCATTATACCTTTAACAATGTTGGTAATGTAATGGCCCACTGGCCCTCAGTCTTCACCTCATTCAGACACAATAGAAAGAGGGCGAGGCGTGTGCAATTGATGATTCTCCTGTTTTATTTTTGCATGTGACAGTTTGATCACATGGTCTTCTCATCCAGCCAACCTGTTAACAATAAGCAGTGGCCTTTAGCACTTGAAAACCCCTCAGGGCAATTCCACAGTGACGGATGTGACGATTTTGTCATTTTTTAGTTCAAACAAACGGTATACCACTTGTACATTTCTATTATTTGCTATTATTTGCTATTATTTGCTATTATTTGCTATTATCATGCTGTGTAGTCTGTATCCAGCTTTGTAAGTACTCAAATACACAAAAAGAGTGAACATTACTTACTTTACCACGTTACTGTAACTTCTAACAGTACACTATAACATTACTTTACCACGTAAATTTGAAAAGATATTATGTCTAACATTGTGCTGATATACTTTTTTCAAATTTTCCACTTTGCAGTTTTATTGTGTTCAATGACCCTAATTCTACATTTTTCCCAATTTTTTGCCCTCAAAATCATCCATGAAATCAGCCAAAATTGTTCATTTTAAGCCCCTCAAAAACATCACTCTAAGGGCGGTAATAATTTCTCTGCTTGTACAATTGCTTATTCTGATAAAATTATCACATACTCTTTTACATATTGTCTTCAAGTCTAACCCAAAATTAAAACCTTGATTTACCGCCAACACCAATTCATCAGGGTTAAATCTTTTCCCAAAAACAACGGTAATATGAGGGTTTTACTGTACATTCTAATGTATTCTTATACCTTATATTATACCTTATATTATTAATTTTCTCAGTAGGGTGCACTGCTAACAGTCCTATATTCTGATTTGTGGCATCCTTTACAGCACCATTTAACCTCTTATATAGCAGTTTATTAATATAATGTTTAATTATTCATTGTTGTATAAAACTTTTATCAAAGTTCACTCCAACACACTGCTGCGACCATTTTCAAAAAAAGTTTTATTGGTTTTGCTTTAAAAAAGGTATCAATTTATCTAACCCCGCTTACATTGTATTGCTATTATTTGCTATTATTTGCTATAATTTGCTATAATTTACTATTAATTGCTATTAATTGCTATTTATTGCTATTTATTGCTATTTATTGCTATTTATTGCTATTTATTGCTATTTATTGCTATTAATTTCTATTAAAGTATGTTTCTATTATTTGCTATTATTTGCTATTATTTGCTATTATTTGCTATTATCATGCTGTGTAGTCTGTATCCAGCTTTGTAAGTACTCAAATACACAAAAAGAGTGAACATTGCTTACTTTACCACGTTACTGTAACTTCTAACAGTACACTATAGTCTATAACATTACTTTACCACGTAAATTTGACAAGATATTATGTCAAACATTGCGCTGATATATTTAAATAAGTGATGTCAGGCATATTGCTCCAAAACTCAATAAATTTAACTCAAGTTTCAGAATTCACAATTAAAAACTTTAGCCCCTGGTATTTTATTGTGTTATTATATTGTTTTCATATCATTATTTAATATTATACCTATCTAACATTATACTTACTCAGAGGCTTGAGCTTAGGATGGTGTTTCATTGAGTTAGAATACAAAACCTGGTACCGACAGGAATTGAAAAATTGAGACTCTGGAAAATTTAAAATTAGACTTTCCGGGTTAATTACGAATGTTATCTTTTTATTTTGATGTATTACTTAAATTCATCCCTCGATCCTTGTTCTCGCTTTGTGAGATGGACACAGGTTAGTCGGCACCGCGCACGTACATTTACTTTACAATTTACAACTATTAAATATTCTGAATCTGACAGTGTTCGAGACAGTCAAACGACTTGTATTAATTGTATATAATTCACAGATTCATTGTACATGGCGCTTGCAGCCGACACACTGGATGAGTTGGTCACTCCTAAGCTACAATCGCAATGGAATCAAGCTAAATTCCAGTGGTTCCCGAGAACAGATACAGCTGAAAATGTTGCATATGATAAACGAACTCCAGGTTAATTTACTGCCTTACACTATAAAGACTTAAACTTCGAATGTATAATGTTTTCATATTTTAACTGGTTACCTGGTTACCTGGTAATCTGGTTATCTGGATTATTTCGTATCTATGGTACTTATTATTGGCTACATATTATTACTATATAATACTCAGTTACTTTTCAGGATTGTTTAAGGTGGAATGGAGTGGCGGCGGTTTTGTAGGTTTGTCGGCTAAAACCTATTTCTGTTTCGAACCTGATGCCAAACAGAAAGAGAAGTGTTCGACAAAAGGCATCAACAAGGCAGCTCAGGTCACTATAGACCATTTCCGTTCAGTTCTGCAAACGAAGCAAAGTGTCAGCTCAGCAAACAGAGGCTTCATTGTCAAGAACAACACCATGCTGAGCTATCGAATGGAAAGAAAGGGCTTGAGCTACTTTTACTGTAAAAGGAAGATACTTGATGACGGAGTTAGCACCACATTTTTAGACATCTAGTTGTAAAGAAATTGGACACAGTTATGGATTTTCAAAATAG